AATCAGCCACATTACTATTACGGGTATCCCACAAAGACAAGCTTGTTGCTAATTTAGAATGTACTCCATCTTCATTTCCATGTCTACCCTGAAAAAATTATCTTGGTATAACAATAGTATATTTATCGAGATTAAAATTTCAGGGAAACCGAGCAGACAAGAACAACCATTAATCAGCCATTGTGTCGTGGATGAAAAACGCAAAGCTATATTTATGTATTAGTTGACACTTACTCATTTCAAGATATGCTTATATTTGTTAGAAGTAATAACTAAATTGCATACCTTTTGTTCACCCTTTTTCTTTGAGAGGGAGCCAGCCACCTTTGTCTCCAGCACAGAGACTTTGGCTATGACACTTTTCCTAGTAGGTCTACTGGGTTCGGGAGCCAGCTGTGGCCTAGCCAGAGGAGGTTTAGACTCGGCAGGACAAGAGCTCATTATACCAGATAGCTTCTCACGTAGATCCCTTGAACCTCCAGAAACAGATCCCTTCACATTTTTATTAGCTTGCTCGATGCTCTTCCTTTGCAGCTTGGCACGAAGATCTCTCACACCAACCCTTTCGTCTTCACAAGCCATAAGTATAAATCAGAACCATCTCATGCAAAGTAGAGGCCTCCAAAATTATCACACAAGCAATTTACAAAATGCTGAAACTTTACTGTAAACATTCACATTACTTGATGCTTGGGGTATGCTGTCATCGTAAAGATCATGTTCCCATTTGTCATCATCTCCTCTCTGCCTGGATAGGAAAAGTGAAGGAAAAAAATATGACTTGGCTATATTAGGGACTCCTTTTTCCCAGGATTGGAAGAACAAAGATTCTGTGATCTTCCATGGGTAAATTTTACTCTTCTTTATCAAATATATATTTCACACTAGATGCTCTTACATGCCAGCAAATGTACTAACCAATCCACTGGCTAAAAAACTGCACTGATATTTTAATCATAAGCTCTACTAAACTGCTGGTTTACAGAAATTGTAAGTAAAAATCAAACAACTCCATAAAAAAAAAAAAAAAAAAAAAAAAAAAAAAAAAAAAAAAAAAAAAAAACCAACTAACTCTATTAGGATATAGCAGCACAACTTTCATATAATCCATGGGTTCGCTGAAATCAACTAAGCCATAGCTATGAAGCTTCAGATATAGCTACATTAAAGTACGTGTCTCAGAAGGAAGCAATGATGAAGGGGAAAAACCCCATCTTTTTTCTGTCTAGGGAACAACAAGCGTCCGGTACAGAACGCTGGCTTACTAAAAGATGCTGGCTAAAGCTTGATTGATTTTTTTCTATATTTTTCCGTAGCAAACCAAAACACACTCCCATAAAAAGAACAAATAGCAAAATGAATACAAGAGTTGGAGTTAACCTCTTTCCGGATAGAGAACGCCGGCGACCGGAATCGGAGGAGAAATTTCCGTTAAGGCGGTCCTTAATTGACCTATTACCTCGAGCCTCGACTTGATCAGCGTACATCGTCAGGCAGAACAACCTCAATTTATGGACAACCCTAACCCTAAATCTAACCCTAAATCAAACAGAATAATACCTCAAGTAAACAAGAAATTTATAAATTCTGTAGAAAAAGAAGAGGGAGAGAGCAGAAGCAATTGGGCAAGCGACCACCTATTGCTCATCAATTTTGCTCCCAGAATTTATTTTTTTTTTTTCGCGGGCCAGCCCGCTTCCCATGGCAGAGGTGGGTCGTGCTGGCCATTTAGAGCCTCACTAGGATCAGTGCTACTCGTGTGTCCACGCACACCAGACAAGATGTGCCAAGAAAATTTAAAATGAACATGTTACATAATAAAAAATGTGTACACATGTTCATTTTATTATATAACATATTTATTTTAAAAATATCTTGGCACATCTTGCTAGATGTGCCAGTGCGCACCTAAGTATTTGTGCACTAGGATTGCGGGGCGGGCTCACCAAACTGCTGGTTTGGTTGGTTGCGGGCCAGCCTGTCCCGTCGATCAAAACTCCAGTCTGTCTCGTCAGCCCGTTTTGACATGTCTAGTAACATCCTAAAATGAGTATTTTAAAAACCCCATGAAGATGATTTCCTACGTCTACCATACGACTTGAAATTCATAATTACTTGACTTTAACAAATATAATAGAGTTAGATTAGGATACATGACACATTGTGTTCTTCTCTTTTCACTAATTTCTTGATAGTTCTATACACGGGTATTTATGCTAATTTCTTCAGATTTCTATACACGAGTAAATTTGTCAAAATCTTGTCTCTGTGAAATGCTACTATATGAAAATTAAAAATTGTTATATTTTGAAGGTGTTTTTAAAATAATGTTGGCATTAATCAGTATGAATTTTATTTTGTGTTTCACGTGCCTCAACTTAAAAATAATTGTATTTTCTTTGTTCGAGTTCATTAATTTCAAGACAGTAGATTTTAAAATTGTTCTTGCCTCATCATTGGAAATTGACCCATCATTTTTTGGGAGACAACGTGGTTGTATACAAATATATCCGCTCAAAATAATTTTTTTTGGTTAATTATGGTCAATTTTAAAAAGGTTGTGTAGTTAGTTATTAGTGAGATTTTGATTTTATATTAAAATATTATTTAAAAAAAATAATTAGAGTTGATATGATACAAAAGTATGGGAGAGATTATATGAAATTTATTTTTAGTTAAAATTATGTGAGTATGTGGATAGTGAATTAAAGTGATGTAATGTATCAGAATGATTGACTGATATTATTTAATTATATTAATAATATTGAAGATAGTAGGATTGATGTAAAGTTAGTTTAGATTTTGAAAAGAATTGTGTAAATTGAATTTATTTATATACAAAATTCCCCAAATCCAGACTCCAATCAAACTCATCCCAACTATATTAACATAAAAATCTATCTATATCTATATCTATACTATTATAAAAGAGCTAATGAATCTGTAAAAATATGATATGCCTACAATACCCTTACTTTTTCATATATATAATGTCAAATTTGTAATTTAATGTCCAATTCT